GAATAATGTATAAAGAAAGATCTACACTTTCACTCGCCCTCTTTTCGAGAATTTTTGGATCCTCCTAAATCGAGCAGCTACAAGGCTTTGCACTCATGATGTAATGCCTATGTGGAGGAGGCCTGCCGACTCATCCATAAGAGATTATATGAACACAAAACCCCTTGTAAAGGTATATATGTCCAAAGATCTGAGCTCGGTGAACAAATGGTCAATATAAGACACTTGATAAACCGGTCTAAAACACAACGTTTTGCTGGTTACGGGTACTTAACATAAAAGCGTAAGATTAGGAACTCTTTAGAAATTTACAAGACAGCCAACGTCTTGAATAGGAGGAAGGTATGTGGGAAATTGAGTAGGAACTATTTATGGCTGCTGAATAGGCTTAAGGAAAGGGAGAGTGAGAGAGAATAGTAAGAGCCAATGATCAAGAGAAGGAGGCCGGACTAGCCTCGAGTCTAGCTAGGACTATCACAACTCTCATTACATGAATATTAAATAGACACTATAGACAGTAGCACACTCAAACATGAGATAACATTAGAAGATCGTATGTCAGTTTATTTATGTAAGGAAACATTTGTCCCTAAATCCATCTCATGTTCATGAATTAACTTCACTCATTTGCAAGCATGTAGACTATGCTTGAAGTTACCAACCAATTTATGGGATCCCAAGGATAGGTGAATAAAAAGTGACTAGGGTTGTAGCCGGCCATCTTTTCTCTTGACATAGTATATTTTTTGCACTATTTTGTAAAATATGGATCCTTGCTCTGATGATGTCAGTCACGGGAAAAACTAAAGTTTAGCACAGGTTCATCGGGGTCACAGGACGGTGAGCCTAGGACTTCTCCGCACAATCCAAAAGTCTTCACTTCACAGGAATTCTCCTGTTTCTGGCGGGTCCATTTCATTAATTCCTCCCGACCAATTTTTCCTTCGAAATGAGAGGTCATATCATAATTAGTCTGGGCTTAGTACTAATACTTCCGCCACTTGTCTCGTCCCTTGTGACAATAGTCATTTTTGTCTTTCCACTTCAAATCTTCTCCTTTGACTTTTCTTCTATTTAAGGAACACCGTAACTCGTTTTTGTTTCTCTATACAGGGCCGAGGTAATCTACATGGTAGTGCGAAGCTGACTATATTTTCAGTGACATCTAGATCACTAAACTGGCTTGGGAGACTTTCATATCGTATTAAAGTGCATGAAAAAGAGATCCGAAGGTCGAACTCACCAGAAGAGGACGTCTGAATCTAGTTGTACTGTATCTGTTTGGCTTTACTATGATGTTAGGTTGACGTAGTCCACGAGACCTTCCTTGTTT